TTAATAAAGTTATAATTGTTCAACTAAATAAATTGTGTATGTCCAAATTGATTTGTTATCTTTTCTCTTGTTTTCATTATTTTGGTTATTATCTAAGAATTGTAATTAGTTTTCAATTTGCTATTTCGAATAGTTAAATTTTTTTAACAATATCTTGAAAGTTATTTGACCCAATTGATTGTTATTATATAAGAATAAGTATAGTGATATGAAGATATATACTCTATTCAAATACTTCAAATTTCTTGCACAGTACTTATTAAACTTGCTAACACTAGGCTATATACGTGTCTTAAAGATTTTTCTAATAAAATAATAGAATTAGTAAAATAGATAACACATCATAATTTTCTAACAAAATTGTTTCTCTAGGATCAAATATATATCTTGTTAGTTGTTGCAAAAGTAGGCATCCGAAGGTTCTATATACTTTGGTTTCGATTATGATTGTTCTTCTGACCAGTATCTCTAACTACAGCTTCTTATTATTTTTAGGTTCTAATATAATTATCCTTGTTTCAGTTATAGTATTGTTCATTTCACTTGAATTTTGAGGCTCTTTTGCAGGTTCTAATCTATATTTGATAGCCTTTTTCTCATCTATTAAAGTGCTTATATCACTTTGATAGCACCTTTTATGAATATCTTGTTTGTTCGAATTAATATCTTTAGCAGAATTCTGAGACCATCCTAACATTTTGTGCTTACTCCTTTTACTTGGTTCAAATTCATTCATAACCTTTTCAACTTTCTTCTTCCAGGAATTACACATAGTGTCCAAAGATTCTTTGATATTAGTTGGTATTTATACTTTGACTTTACTTTTCTTTAATGTCTTCTTCACTTTATTAATGAATTCTTCTGCTTTTTTCATGATACTGACACATCTTTCTTCCTTGATTATTTTGTCTTGATCTTTATTTTTGGTGACTTCATCTTTACTAAAATAATATTCATTCATTTCAAGTCCAATCTTATTTTTATTGCAAGGTTTAATTTCTTTATCAGCTTTTTGCTTTGAAGCTTATTCTTTATATCATCAAGCTTATTATTATCCTTATCATCAACTTTATTGGTTCCATCTTCTATATCCTTATCATATTCAAACTTTTTCATCTAGTTTAAACAAAGATCTTTATTTTTCTTTTTATAGATACATCTCTGAATAATAGCTTTGTACTGATCAATTGGCTTTTGGAGAAGAGGTTCTAGATCTAAGTCTTCTTTCTCAAAATTAAGCTCTATATTTTCAGAAGATCTTTTTACAAATTTGTTAGGAATATAAGAATCAAAATTTTATTAAGACAATCGCTAATTTGGTTTTATGAAACTAGG